ATTCCTAAAGGTTCCACCTTGGAAGAGGATTGTGAAATTTAGTTTAAAAAAAAAAAGAAATTGAGTTCAAGGTATATTGGACCCTTAGAGATTCTATGTGTGTGTGTGTGTAGGGGGGGTATGATACAAGAACATCGTTGTCGCGGGTGATGATGATGATGATGATGATGGTGGTGGTGGTGGTGGTGTGATGGTGGTGTAATGGTGGGTGATTTTAATTCTCAAGGAACTGTCTACTAGAGACTAAGTTGTGCAAATAAATAATAATAAGAATCCCCTCAAGTAAATCATTGAATGACTTTCAGATCAAAGAGCTGTGACAGGTTTTCAAATGATTTAGGAATCAAGTCGTGCAGTTTGTTTTCACTCAGATCCCTGTGACCAAGAACTAGTTCAAATTACAATTAAAATGTTCACGCTCCACAAAAATAATAGTCTTGATCTTAAAAGAAAGTAGCCACATCAGCCAAAATATAACGATGAAAAGAAAGATCACAACTAAATGCAGTGCGCAATATCACAAATTTCTTGAAATCTGGCAAGTGACCGGACTTTGAACTTTTTTCTTTGAATTTGGTTTTCCACTTTTTAATTTCCTTGCCTTATTGATTGTACTCTAGATTTTGAGGTGCCTTGCTTTAGAAAGTGCATGAAAACCATGTAGGCTTTATCATGCAAAAGTATAAAAAGGTGGATCTTGTAATCTTTATTAGAGTTAACTGATCAGAGTAGGTAATACCTTCATCCCTATAGCTAGGGATGGAACCGGGGGCAGGGAGTAGGCCCCATCTCCATACTTGCTTCAAAAATATTCATACACTCCCGTTAACGGAGGAAAATTTTAATCCCCATTTCTATCCCGTAGGTAAATTTTGATCCTCGTTTCCGGCCCCTTCCCCAGCCACTGTCCCTGGTCCAAAAGGAACAGATTTGGACAAATACCAATTTTTTCTTGGCCCATTATCATCCCCGCTTATACCAGGTATGTTACTCAATTGTACATTTGTTATAATATTAGTAAACTCTCAATCACAACCCCTTTGTCCACCCAAACCATTGGATTGCTCACATATAGACATTGCATTTATATACACAAATTTTTTTGCAAGTGGCACCAGTTACTAGGATGAGATAAAAAAATATCCTTAACCATATTCACCGGAGGTCTGACACAATTTGTACTTAGACTTTAGTTTGAGAAAAGAATGTCTATAAATTTCACATAAAAAATCAACTACGTCAAAAAGAAATGAATGAATTGAGACAAATGGTGTAGGTATCCTTACAGTGTTGTTAGATGAGTAAGATTTCCAATTTCCGCAGGTATTCGACCCTTAGATCATTTCTTGACAAATCACTGTAAAACAAAGCAGTGAAATCCTTCACAATAACTCAGCTACTGATAAATCAAAAAACAAAAGTAACAATACTGTAAGATGCCCATTCATTGACCATTTTTATTTTTATTTTAGTACAACTGCTAGTGCAAGATACTGATCATCTCCTTTTTAGCAATTTGGCTTTTAAGATACACTTATAAGTAATTGCCTTTCTATCTCCAATCTCTATCTTACCTACCATTCCATAACACTTTATTTTAGTAACTTGTTTAAAGCAAAAGAATAATTCCATCAAAATAGTAAAATTGTGTTTTATTACTATCTACAAAAGTCATTTCATGAATCTTAGTAGGAATAATATATATTTATATGTGCATATGTATATACTACCATATATGTGATTAACTTAAAGGAAGGGAGCAAGTTTAAAACAGAAAAATACAAAACAAAACAGTACTTGAAAAAAGTATTTCCAGATGGTACCTCAGTATTAAAGGTAAGATCGGCTAGGCATGGACCCTGTTAGTGGGTCCCACAGCAATAAGTGGTAAGTAATATGCCATTGTGGAAACCTCATAAAAAAGGATATTGGAGGGCATCTCTGGATCCTTAGCATAGAGATAAAGTATGTTTTCACAATAAAGCAACCTGGAAACCCAACATAAGAAGTAAAATTCCAGGTGGACGTGCACTGTCGCCCTGCCTTGTAATGGGTCAGGCCCAAAGGCTTAATTCATGTTATAAGTCTAGTAAAGAATCCAATTAGACAAGATCTAATGGGTACAGTTCAAGGGAGGTACATGCCCAGTCAAGCTCTTCAGGTTGTTGAAGAGCTACATTACCAAGAAAGCAAGCAAGGTCATTCAAGAGCCTCATCCACGCCTACTAGGAAAGGGTTAAACCCCACGTTATCCTTTAACCGAATGTTATGGGGAGCACCGCAACTGCCTCATTCATTGAGAAGAGGGCACCAGCTCCACCAGATTCGCCACTTAGTTACTTATAAATCGCCTCAATCTGTTAGGAGGCAACTATAAATTGTAAGTCTCGTCAACACTTGGGGGGGCATCACACTCGGTTGAGCACATCTCTGTAACTTTCCCCTATCTCTTTCAGCTTGTAACTCCCTGCTCTACCCACACTCATTGAAGTAATAAAATAACTCGCGACCCTAGTCATTGAAAGTGGACGTAGGTCACGTTGATTGAACCATTATAAATCTTTGTCTCGACTGTGTTTTTATCTCTATCTATTTTACTACTGCATTTATTATTGTTCACTTGACAGGTGGTGTGTAAAGTCAATTTGTGCATCATCAGTTTGACACTGTTTGTGAAAACCACAGAATTTTCACATAATCACTTTCTTTGTTGTAACTGTGGCGATCACCACTAGATTCATGAATCAACCTGAGGATAATTCACCACGGGAGGAGGAGGTTGCTCCTCCACCAACCAATCTCGTTTCGAATGCACAGTAGATGCTGGAGACAATGTAGTAGCTTGTAACCCAGAACCAGCAAATCCTGCAACTAATGCTAGTTGGACAACAAGGAGCAACACAGCCTATAAGACCTCAAGTCAGAGAAGCTCCACGCCTTGGGCATCAAGGAACTCCCCACTTGGGCCCCCCATACAGGGGAGCCCCATGCTAGGACAATGAGGCACCTCCACCTCCTCCTCCAGCTCCTATTTCTTATGGTGGAGATCCTTATTTCTAAGAAGATGAGTGTGAGAACCAAAGCATGGAACATGAGAGCTATTTCCACAACGATTCCAAAGGGGATCCTAACCATTGGGATGAAAAAATCAAAGAAGTACATAATTAGTTANGGAGCCATTTCCACAACGATTCCAAAGGGGATCCTAACCATTGGGATGAAAAAATCAAAGAAGTACAGAATCAGTTAGGCAACGTCTTCAGTGCCATGAAGGCACAAGGACCTAAAATCGTCAATTACCTAGTAAGGCGAACCGACACACCCTTCATACTAAATGTGGCAAACTACCCACTTCCCCAAAAGTTTAAAATGTCATTTGTAGAAACTTTCGACGGTACAAAGGACTCACTTGATCACTTCGAAACCTACAAGACTTTAATGCAGCTGCACAACGTCCCCGACGAAATTATGTGTTGGGCATTCCCAACTACCTTGAAGGGATCAGCGTGACAATGGTTCCCCAAACTCACCCTGGCTTCCATAGGCTCCTTTGCCGAACTGAGCAGATCCTTTGTGGCACAGTTCATTGGTGGATGCCGCTAGTAAAAGTTTGCCACTCATCTGCTCAACGTAAAATAGGATCAAGACAAGAGTTTGAGGAGTTACCTCACTCGTTTTAACAAAGAGGTCCTCCACATTGAGGGCCCTGATAACAAGGTCACTATGACTGCTTTCTTGGGAGGCCTACGCTCATCTAACTTTTTCTTTTCAATGATGAAGCACCCACTAAAAAGCATGTCAGAATTGTGGGCAAAAGCTCAGAAATACATAAATGTCAAGGATGTCACCAAAGCCAAGTGAGGTGAGTCATCACCATCATCATCACCACCTGCGCCCGACTCTAAAAAAAGAAGCCACAAAGGCACAAACATCAACAAATTTTGTAACTGAGCTTACATCGCTTGAAAAGAGAGATTGTCAAGAAGACTTAGCGCTAGGCGCTAGGCGCTAGGCGCTAGGCACTAGGGGCCCATCAGTGCACGCAACTCCTCAAGTGGCCAGCCCCTCGAGCGCCCAGCACCTTCAAGCACCTCCTCAAGAGCCCAACCCCAGGCCCCAAAGTGCCCAGCTCCTTAACGCCCTCCTCATCTCTATCTGTTGGAATGAGACTCCGACTTGGTGACCCTCCCATGGGCTAACCCTCAATTTCTGCCTCTGTTCTCATGCGGACAGCCTCATAGACAGTGTATCTCTAGCTAAGCGGCTCTCTCACGGGTCGCCAAAAACTTGGCCTATCTCTGCTCTGCTCTCAAGCAAGTAACCTATATCTACAGTTGAGCGGCTCTCTCGTGGATCACCAAAAATTTGGCCTATCTCTGTTCTGTTCTTAAGCAGGTAACCTATACCTCCAGCTTAGGGGCTCTCTCATAGGTCGCCAAAAACTCAATCTGAAGAGGTGTAGCTCTCTCACGAATAATCCTCAAACTCTGTTTTTGCTCTCGTGCAAACAGTCTGCTTCTTTCTCCAGGTAATCATGTTAGACATTTTGATGTTTGAATTAACATTGTTTTTGCCATCTCTAGGCTAGCTCTTGAAATTCAGGTCGTTTGTAACCCGAGAGACTACATTAAATTGAATGTCAACAATCGGGCCTCATCCTTTTTGTGTCCATCCAGCACTGTAGCCTCGTTGCCGCAGCACTCTCGCTCTTAACACCTAGCGCAAACAAGCCCTACCTGCACTTGTCCCCAAACAGCACTCCTCCATCGCAATCAGCAAAGTGACCAGCACTATGGTAGCCCCTCAAGCAGCACCCAGCGCCATGGGCACCCCTCTAGAAGCGCCCAGTGTCATGGGCGCCTCTCCAGTAGGGTCCAACACCACAGGCACCACTTCATCCCATCGCCAGATAGGCCTCGCCCAGCACCAACAGCGCCCATCACCCAAGGCGCCTCACCATTGNTGCCTCTCCAGCAAGGTCCAACACCACAGGCACCACTTCATCCCATCACCAGATAGGCCTCGCCCAGCACCAACAGCGCCTCGTCAGCGCCCATCACCCAAGGCGCCTCACCATTGGCGCCCATCACCCAAGGCGGCACACTATTGGTGCCCATCACCCAAGGTGCCTCCAACGTCGACTGCTCCTCTTGTTTCACCAGAGTTCGCGTAAATCCAAATGGGAAGTAAAATAAGGGGAATATATAGCTGGAGATGTCTTACAGAGTTAAAATATATCAGGAAGGAAGAAGGAGCCTTAGTATGTGATTTAATAAATCGTTTAGTCGAAGCTTAACATGGACGTTGCTGGATTCATCTCAGATTGCTAGAAAATTGATTGCCTTGACATTGACTTTGGTTCCATAGTCAAGAGGAGTTTTCATCAACCAGTATTCAGGTTCAACTAAATGCTCTCTTTTCCAAGTTTCATTGGTCACAGGGCATTGAAGAGCAAATGATGAGCCAATCACAATGGCCCAACTCATGTTGTAAGTCCAGTAAAGAATCCAACTAGACAAGATCCAATGGGTCTAGCCCAAAAGAGGTCCACGACCAGTCAAACTCATCAGGTTGTCGAAGAGCAACATCACCAAGGAAGTAAGTAGGGTCATCCAAGAGCCTTATCCACGNAGTCCACGCCCAGTCAAACTCATCAGGTTGTCGAAGAGCAACATCACCAAGGAAGTAAGTAAGGTCATCCAAGAGCCTTATCCACGCCGCCTTGGATAGAGTTAAACCCCAAGCCATCTTTTGATCGAATCTTATGGGGAGCATTGCAACAGCCTCATCCGTTGAGAAGGGGGTGCCAGCTTTACCAGATTAACTACTTTGTTACTAATAAGTCGCCTCAATTTGTTAAGAGGTGACTATAAATTGTAAGTCCCGCCAACACTTGGAGGACATCACACTCAGTCGAGCACATCTCTATAACTCTCCCCTATCTCTCTCAACTTGTAACTCCCTGCTCTACCCACACTCTTCAAAGTAATAAAAAAACTCGGCAAGCCAAGCCATTAAAAGTGGAAGAAGGTCACGTTGACTGAACCACTACAAATCTTTGTCTTGCCTGTATTTCTATCTCTCTACTTTACTACTGCATTTATTATTGTTCGACAAGTGATATATAAAGTCAATTTGTTCATCATCACCTTCTATGCACATTGTGCCTGGAAATGGGTTCGCATTAAGGACACAGTTGAGTAAGGCCAAGAAAGGCTTTACATTCCTATAGAATGGAAGTACCCAACAACCACTGACAGCCTGAATAGTGGAAGATTTGCTTCTAAGTATTTACGGATGCATTAAAACTTGCAAAAAGACAATTCCCCTGTAAATATCATCATGCATGAGGAGCATTTTCATATAAACTACTTGGATGTTGATCTGCTCAATTCCAAACCTAATCACTACCAGCAACTTCAATCTTCCACCCTAAAAATTAGTGGGTATCACCCAAATGTCAATGGAACCTTTTAAAATCCCCACCAGTGGGTTCAATGAACTAGATGGCGGATGTTCCAAACATGCGATTTAAGAGTACCAATACGTGTTGCGCTATTGCGCTATTTTCACGTAGTGTCATATTGAATCTTGTCCTTTTCAAATTTTGTGTTATTTTCAATATTAGTCCCACTAAAAAATTATTTAATTCTAAAAAAATCATATAATTTGGGTAAAGAAAATAGAAAAATACAAAAAAATACTTGCAATACCAATTAAACAGTTATTTTTGTCTAATATGAACTTGACCCATTAATTATCCATACTAATTAGTTGATTTCGTATAGTATTGAATCCTTCCATGTCTAAGGAAGTGAAAGAACACACATCGTCACCTAAATTACAAGACCAATTGGGAGATTGAAGAGTTGGGAATCATTGGAGTTAAGAGAGATCTTACATTTCTGTCACTCTGCAAATCGTGTGGTTCTTAAGGCTACAGTTGCATATAATTTCATTTTTGAGCTTGACACCGCAGTCAACGGCGGAGAAGTTACGGTCAAGTTCCCAAAAAGGAGTCTTCAAACGTTGAAATAGAGCGTTCACAGCATCCACTGCAAGCAAATACAAAGAATTGAAGCAAAAATTTTGATGTGTTATAGACTATCTCCAAAATACTAGGGTAAATTATATTTTACCCTCTTGAATTATTACCTTTATTTTATTTTGTACTTTTAACTATAAAATTTCTTACATTGCCCTTTAAAGTATCAATTTTATTTCATATCATTTCAATTGATAATCAATGTCACTTTGTTTACGGTAAATGCACATGTGAGTGATCTACACTGTCAATAAATAATTATCTATTGCACATGTACAAATCATAATTCAAGCAATATGTCTATTCATGACTTTGTCCTTACTAAACTCCAAATATTTTTCCTTTGGTCAATCTTCTTTTTCTTCTTAACAATCATTTAATTTCAAAAGAGGTAAAATAAAGTGATACTAGACACTTGATAGGAAGCTCTTTAGAATTCCCCTCCCTCATTTGATAGATTTTCAAGTTTACCGTTATTTATTAAAATGATATAAAACAAAATTGGTATTTTTATGGTGTAATGTGAAAAAATTTATAGTTAAAGGTACAAAGTAAAATAAGAGTAATAGTTCAGGGTAAAGTATAATTTACCCGAAATACGCAAAAAAAATAAAACGTTTGATTTGGTGTAAACCTCTCTCATGGAGAAACTCAAACCGAATTTAAATGATAACAAACTCAAATTTAAAGGAGGATATATATTTAAAGAAGAATGAAATCTAATAATTGGTAAAAAGGGTAAAGATTTGATCCTCTCTTTATTTGGTATGATTTTGAATATAGCATTGGAGAAGATTTTAAGGGTTTTTTTTACCCAAATTTAAATGAGCAATACTATTCAGACCTAATTCACTATAACCTTTGAATTGACTCTGGGCTCCATAAAATATTAGAATTTGGTATTGATCCAATAATTCCACTAAAACCACATCATTATGTCAGAAAATTAAGTCAAATTTTTAAGTTCAAATAACATTACTCTATTAATAACTAAACCCAAGCCATATTTTTTGTTTTTTCACTATCTCATCTCATACACCTAATACAAGATATATATATATATATATATATATATATATATATTTGTGTGTGTGTGTGTGGGGGGTTTTTTAGTATAGATTTTTCAAGTGAAATACAAAATATTTTTCAACGTAATTTTATGTTTTATTTGATGTGAGAATTTTAGATATATATTATTGTGTTTGTATCGCTATCAAGATCAATAATTTTGTATATATTGATAATGCATAAAATCATAGAAAGCGTCATCATCTTCGGGTTCTTCACGCAAGTCTTTGTAAGAATAGCTGAGCTGAAGCTGATGTTTTCATCATATTTAGTGATTTTTCAGTAGGTAGTTTAATAGCGTGGGAATAGGTATCTGTGGGGGTGCAAATAGGCCGACACTTTGAAGAAACTTAGGTAATATTCAAACATGGGTTAGTTACACTTTGCCCCTTAAACTATAGCCTTTATATCACTTTGCCCCTTGAGATATTGAATTTCTCACACGGCCTTTTCAACTAATTGGATTGGCTTCACAACGGCAAAAATATAAATGTAAGTTATCGCTTAAACAAAAATATTAAAATTTTTGGGCAAAATAAAATAAAATCACATAGTTCATGATGTAAAATTAATAACCAAAATTGAAAGTAGAGAAACATAATAGTTGAGGGCACAAGTAACACAAACCTAACAGTTTAAAAGGATAAACCGTAATTAACCCTTTAAACAAAATAGATGAATTTTGTGACATAAGAAAATAAAATCATTGCATTAATCAATTCAAATTGTCATTTTTTATTTTTGCACCAAAACAACACAAATTAAAAAATTTGCAGACTAAAATTACAAAATTCAAATAATGAGAAATAAGTATCATAGGTCGCACATTTGAGGCCGCATCCAAATTGAATCCGAGCCCTAAAATACTAAATTGCCCATCTTTAAATGTTTGAACTCTGAGTTACGTTAATCCGGTTGAAATTCAAACTTAATTCGGATTTAATTTTCTAGTAAAAAAATTGAGTCAATTTGAGTTTGAATTTTAGGCCTGAAACTTGATAACTCAAGTATTGCCCAAATTTAGATTGGTTGGAATTTTTTATCCAAACTCAACCCAATTAGTGAATATCCATCTCCTACTATTGAATTTTTTGGGTTAGGTTTGAGTTGATCCGACCGAGTTGCACTACTAAGTCCAAATATTAGAATTTGAAAAAAAGGTTGGTGGTCAATATTTAAACATAGTAGGATATATGATCAACGTGTAGCTGAAGACAAAAAAAAAGATCGCATAATATTGGGGCCATGGACCTCGCACCTCTCTCTCATGATGTATAAGGGTATGTAGTCTATCTAAATTCAATTCGAATCCAATTTGACCACCGGATTGGTGGTCCAGTGGTCTGCAGTGACCCATTTCTTTGACTCCCACAGGGTTAGCAAACACGGTTCAATTCACGGAGATACCCACTGCAACCTTTGGTAGCTCTGTGGTTCCGGTATTAGGCAATGGCTTGAATTGGCCTTTGGGAGCACTTGCGGTTTCCTGCTGTCTAGACCCCACTGGTGGACTTCCCTCATGAGTTCAAGTTGCTATAGTCACCCCAAAGAGGGGTTCTACCCAAGTTGCCCCTCAAACATTTTTTCTATTCTAAAAAAAAAAAACACTAAATCCACTTCAAAATATTTATTACTTTAGTAGAAATTTCAAGTACTCGGCTTGGGCCTCAGAAAAATTGACCTTAATCAACGTAGTACTGGAGTTGGGGTCTCAAGTTTTTGAGAGCACCTTAAAATCAAACTCAAATCAAATTTAATTTCAACTCGTATTGAAACCAAATTTCAAATCAAAAGTTGAACTCGAGAATTGAATCCTAATTTGAAACAAATTTTAGTCTGCGTAGTGTTATCAACGGAAAACTTAATTTAAAAATTTAAGAACATGCACAATTTAGGTTGAAGTCTGAGTTTCGATTAAACCGAAACTAAAGCCTTAATAACTTGTGTTGAGTTCAAATTGAGCTCTCAACCCCCCTAATCCAACTTGAGTCACTCTTGTTCTCTCAAGGAAAGAAAATACAAGATTAAATAATTAGTGTTGGTGTTATGCATCATTAATATATGTACTACAAAACTCAGTGCCAATTTACCAAAT